CTAACTGTAAAGCGCTTTTGAACTTTTAGGATATTGGCGCTATATAAATATTTTATTATTATTATTTATTTTTATTATTATTATTATTATTTACTATTAAATAATCCATGTATCGCACTTTGGTGATAACTTAATGTTTTAGTGTTTTCATTTATCTTCCAATTACAGTATATCTTTCTGAAAACTGTTTTCTTATATTCACTTAAGGCCTGTTGTAATGATATTCTTCTTTCTATCATCAGGTTCAACCCTTAGTAGTTCAAGTATCTATGAAAGCATCACAGAGTGTCCCTTTGTATGCTGCTCTTGGGGTAAGAAAGAATGTTGTACAATATCTACAGAGCTCTCAAGTTGACTTGATGTTAAAGAGTGAGATCTTTGATCGTATAGCTGTTGTTTGTGACACTGCAGGCGGCACCCTGCTAGGGGGGTTTGGGGGCATGCACCCCCAGGAAATTTTGAAAAATGGAAGTAGCTAAGATGTGTTTTCCTTCATTCTGAGCAGAAATGTGATGCTTTAAAAGCAATTGTTTAGATCACAGAATTTTTTTTTATTGGACCAATATCAACTCTTTCTTAACATTTTGACTTACATGTATCTCGAAGTCAAATTAACATGTTATAACGCTTGTTCTACATGCTGTCAGTCCGATCACTGACAGAATAAGGGTGAATTATATCGTAAAAGATAGTTTATTATGAATGAACTTCACTAAAGCTGCAAAGAATCTTAAATGCGTGAGAAATAATAGTTTCAGCGTGAGAGCGTAAGATTGAATTTGATGGCGTGAGTCTCATGTTCAATGCGTGAGACTTAGAGAGCTCAGTATCCTCTAATTACAGTTTATGTACACATACATACACATGTTGGCAAATGTTCCTTGAAAAACCACGAGTCTCACAAACGTGTAGTTGAATTTCAAGGGATCACAGTCTCATTTTTTCACCAGCTATGTGCAAATCAAAAGAGCATTTTTTTTTTTTTCACAAAGCCATCTCAGAGTCTCTATTTTTTGTGAGACAAAGAAAATCTTGAAGTACAATTTCTTTGTTTGTGTTTATAAAGTTGTCTAATCTTATTGCAATGAAATAAAAAAAACAGTCAGCTCCTAAATCCTTTTACATGTAATTTGCAATGGGAATACGACAACTTACTGGGCAATGATGATGATCAAATTACGGGAAGTTATCCCATTAGGAAGACAGCACTTAGCACGTGTACAATGAAATTCTGTGAACCCCTGATAACTTTAATAAAGAGTGGGGTGTTGCACACAACTTAATATTAAAAACCACTCACTCCAGACTCTATTTGTAAAAGTTGTGAGGAAAGTTATCTTGATTGAGAGATTTTTAGTTGATCTTACCAAATCAATTTTTCATGTCATGGAAAGGTTTATGTCACCGTTTTTCTTGAAAGAACATTGACGAGAATGATAGAAGCCTCGATGAAGGACAGAAAAGGGTGGTGTCTACGTTTTTAAGATCAGCCAGAAATGGAGGGGTAGCACTGGAGGGAAAAGATAAAGAAAGATTCAATGCTATTC